GCAAACCACTGCTTTTTTGAACGAGGCATAGTGGAAAAGGATGCAGGAAACTGTAAGAACAATAGGTCTGGTCCTATTTTCCTCTTCTCTTTATATAGAGATTATGAAGGAAGTGAAATGGCTCTGTTTCCTCACATCTGACCCGTGAGAAAAATAGCCTGTGCAGTCAGTTTTAACTTGGGAACACATACAAGCTCTATTTCCCAGTAATGAAATAAAGGATATGTATTCCTCAGAAAGGGAGTAAACAAAACAATGCCTCCATTTCTTCTGGTGTGAGATGCTAGTCTCAAGCCTTCTGCTTGCCTCTGTGACGGAAACATTTTGATCTGAAGTAACCAGTTAACCAATGTACCACAATTTTTTTGATGACTATTTGCTATATGCAAGTGGTTCATACTGAACATTTGTTAACACTGTTAACTAATTATTAGTTAACACTGATTTACTTTGCTTGGTCTGTGATACAATTGATTGCTTGAAGAAAAAAAAAACTACCCCTCCAATTTGTTTCCTGCTAGCACTGTAATTACAGTTATTTCTGGATTTTAGAGCAGCAATAGGTACACAAATTGTGCAATCATCAGCCCCCTCCTCACCCTCATAATTTCTGCCAAATTTGCAGACCAACAGAAGCTACTTTTATGTCCTCTAATATTGTTTTATAAGATTCCATTAAAATTTAAATGGAGATTAACTGTTTACAATGGAGTAATATGTTGGTTCCTAACACACTACATAGTGATGATGCACTTAGTGGAAAAGCTTTGCTTTTTTGAATGATGCATTGTGAAAAGAGGAGGCAGGAAACTGTAAGAACAAGTTGGTGCAAACTTATTTAAGGAAGGCTTGGATTCAGAGGAAGTGCATTGAGAATTTTCTGTAACTGTTCACAGAGAAAACACTTGCCTGTGTGCAAGACAGCTTTTGTGCTTCTTTCAGTAAACATAAAATAAGTGGGATCCATCTGTGTTATTTGTATGACAGCACAAGTAATATTGGCTTCAAAATTAGACATCAAAATACCTTCAGAGGCCAATATTATTCATGTACATGTAACACAATCACATAGGATAACTATAAACCAAAGGGATGGTCATATATTTTTCTTAACTGTATTTTTAAATCTAAGCTTCTGCTATGTGTCAGAGATCCTTGGACATAATTTCCTCAAGGAAAAATAAGAAAGGGTAAGACTTATCCCAGAAGCTTGGGATATTCAATTGCAATTCACTTTGCAGATGAGAAATTAATAAAACTTAGGTGTTAGATGCAGAGGAAAATTGTCCCATTTGTAATCAAACCATGTGGCATAGATAAAAGCGCAAATTAATCTGATATTCTCATAGTACTTCCTGGTAGATATTTATCTCCTCTCTGAAATTAACACACAGTTTAACCTTCTTCACCATCACAGAAATCCTCCTAGGCTATTAGGTCAGTATGTGACACCATTGCCAGTGTTCCATGGGAAACTATGCTGGGAGTCTGATCGTTGTTCCCTCTTGCAGTTTCACACAGCAGGAAATCAAATTATTTGGGATCAAATGACTTGTGGCTGCAGTGCCAGTGAAATTAATAAAATTTGATGATATGTGAATTTGAACCTCATTTGGATTTCAGTGCTGGCATTGTTTCTTGAAGCCAAAAAAGAATTCCTGAAAGGCAGTTTGTATACAGATCTTACTCTATGCAGGAAACAATCAAGTGTTTCTGTATGTGACTTCAAAATATAACATAAATTCAGTGAAATTGCAAATATTATCAGATTCAAATGGTGTGATATGCGCCATAAGTACTGTTTTTCAGCTAAGAACCTGGAATGCAGATAATCAAAATTACAGACAAAATTGATCCTTAAAAATCCCTACGAACAAGAATCTTGAATTAAGTGATCATTAAATGTCATGAATCCAGTGATAAAGAACATTTTCTTCCCTGTTTTTAGCCAACTGTAAACTTCTGTGAGCCATGATTGCATGGTCAGCAGGTCTTGACATTTCACCAATTAAAACAAAATTACTATGACAACTTCTGCCATGACACAATTTCATATGCTAAGTAAATGCATTCTGACAAATGCAAATCCACAGTTCCATTTCCATAAGATTTCCTTCAGGAAAAGATTTGATATACTTCTGCCATGACTCATGATAAATGCCTGAGCTTTAGGGAGGAAATTTATATGAAACCAAAAAATAAAGATATTACATCTACAACTATATTTGATATGAATGTGAATAGTAATTCCATATTATTGTAACTGTCATCTCCGCTGCCATTATTGGACATCATTTATGGAAAGCCTGTATTTTTGGTTTTCTGAAAAACTCCCCAAAATATTGGTATGTGTATGTATATATGTAGAGGGAAAGGAGAAAGGGAGGTGATTTTTTTTTCATGATGCATACCAAACAAGAGGACAGAAGGTCTGAATGATTCAACTGCTCCCATGCTGTCTGGAGGTCGGGAGATGTGCTGCTGTTTTCTTGCCACATGAGATTTTTTGACACCAGGAATATGAGGAAGTATTTAGTCTTCATGTGGCTCTCTCTCAAATATTCAGCTCTTATAACAAAGAACAACCTAAAACACATTATATAAAATCAGCTATTTATACTTTTTTTTTTTCTCTTTGCAAACTGTCTCCAAACACTGTTTGATGCACAGCTCCCTCAAAATATTCAAGCATATCCTCTTTCCTTCACATCCTTTTGTGCAGAAAAGCATCACCCCCCCCCACACCCCCCCCCCCCAGATAATTTTGACTTTGTGCCTGTTGAGAAAGGCTTTGGGGTCAATCTTACAGTTTTCAAGTAACTGCCCTCAGACACATGGTTTGCTGTATAACTAATGTTATGAGCCTTGTCTTTTAGCTTGTATTGATACAGCATCTTTCTGTTATTTCATGCAGAAGTTTACTCTTGGCTGAGGGGTGGAGCAAGTAATTTCAGTGATTTACTTCAAGAATTTAAATACTCCTCTTTTTTATTCCACTGTAGTAAAGATTTACATGCTAAATTTAGGAAGCAGCAGCATTATATTGTTTGAGAGACCTAGTGAATAATAAGGAAGCTGTGATGCACTGAGGCCATTCCTGAAATAAGTCCTCTCTCCTGGACAGACATCAGTGAGCTTAAGTGAATCATTCCATCTACCTCAACTGAAGTGCTCATTCAAGAACCAACACTATCAGCAGTCATTATGTTTGTATTTGTAGTCTCTTGTTCTGAGGCTGATCTGGCATATTTTCTTTTACATTAAAAGAAATGTTTATGGTTTGCTAAGTTACTTTTTCAACTCATTGAGAAAGTAAAAAGAGAGAAAGTGTTGGGTTTTTTTTCCTATTGTTCTATTTTGGTTTGGTCTTTTTTGGTCATTATATGAAAATTAAAGCTAAGAACCCATAGAATTAATATTTTTCAATGTGGCTCTACATGCAAATTCATGGAAAGTTTTCCAGAGCATCACTATGCTTTTCATTTGGCTAAATTAATTTCTCCCTTGAAACAATTGCTGACTTAAGACAGAGAGAGTGGTCAAGGAAAACAGTGATTGGACCAAAAACTATGAAGATGCTTTGGATATGGAGTGTTGTTTTCCTCATTGATTGGCTTGAATCAAAAAATATGGCCATTCTTCTGACTGCCCCAATATCCATACTTTCTGAATACTACTTATTCCCCTCAGCTTTGCATAACAGCCTTGACTTGAATTTTAATTTCTCATTGTACCCTGTCATGTTCTAGAAACAGATATCTTACATTTTCTGTGGGGTTACAAAGTCCACAGGAATAAGGAATGTAGTAGGTCCTCTACCACTTGAAATCTTTATATCATATGAAGACTTTTAAGACCTATTTTAGCCTGGGCTGATGTGGCTTTTGAGTCATAACCCTACCGCACACCCGTGCAATGGGTGCAACACCCATGGTGAGAAGTGACTCAGGGCAGGTCGATGGCACAGATACCTGATGGGGCTGGGCTAAGACAAGACACATCCGTACACTCCTATTTGAATCACAGCACCACAGTTTCCATCCAGCTTTGGAGATAGTAAGGAGAATATGGCACTTTGAACAGGTACAAGTTACTGGTGTTAAAGCGAGGGGATGGGACACAGGCACATGCAACAGGAATTGATGTCTCTAGTAAATCAACATGTCAAAAAAAAAGTGTTGCAAAATGAAAGTAAGACCTGGATTATGTAAGAAGGCTGTTAAGATTATCTCATCTAGCAGTGAAATCTGCAATCATGGTGTCAGTTCTAACGGTTTTTAGCTGGGGAGGATCTCAACAGAAAATACTGTGTATGCACATGTGATGCATATGCCTGCCTGCACATAAGCACATATAATACAACAAAAATTAAAAATAACATTATTATACAAAACAAGAACAGCATGGGTTATCAACATACACTAGTAAAGTGAGACTGTCTAGTTAATATATGCTGGAAAACAATACAAATGGCCATTATCTAGCAAATGACATTATAACTTTCCCTTAAATTTTTCAGGTTTGGCCTTAATGGTGTTACACACCTGTCTCTGGAGAAACCTGTAACAACAAATATGTTTACCATGTGTTTACTCTAAACATTAAGTACTTTTATAAAGCTAATTTCTCATGGGGTGAGAAGCTATTCAGAATCCATTCAGAATCAATGAACAGCTGAAAGGTAGAAGGAGACAAAGAGGTAAAGCTGGTAGTCAACTGATAGTCATAACCAAGAGAGGTTACTAATTACAAGTGTGCTCTTAATACCATTTCTGTTTGGACCTTCTGTGCTGTTCAAAGCTGACATGGGAAAAGAGGTGAAGAAATTTGTGTGATCCTATTTTAAATTACACAGTAAATACCTGATGGTACTGAAAAATGGAAAATAAAGTAGTGGGGGGAGAGTAATCCTAATTATCTGTAACAGAACAATTAATTACCACCACTTTGGAAATAGTTTTTGAAACCATTGTGCATAGCACTTAGATATTTTCAAAAAGTGAACTAAAATGTTGGGAATTTTTATTATTGGGAGTGACAACAAAACAGAAAGCATTCTTACATCTTTTGTATATACTATACCTACACGCTGAATAATACTGAGTGTTCTGCTACTGCAGTCCCAGAAACTAACACAGAATTGTTTGAAAATTTATAAAGAGAAACAATAAGGATCAGCAACATGGAGACACATTAATCTTTATATGAGATTAAATTAGGGACTGTGGTGGAGGAAGGAGAAGATAGAATAATTACTTGCTCCAGTAAGTGCCAGGAGCCAGGAGAAAAACCGATAGTTTTCATTGATTGCAGTGTTTTCCAAATGCCTTCTCTTGGTCCCTGCTGGAGGCAAAATGTCCAGTTAAATTGATGATTTGATCAGATGCACTATGTCTATTGTGTTGTTCTCAAGTGATGTTTTTTACATCGTGCATAATTCCTCTGTTTGGCTGCCTTCATGGGCATCTGGGGGGACAGTAACAATGAAGTGAGATGCCAAGGAAGGTCAAATCAGAATAGTCTGTTTTAAGGCAGAATCTCATGAATTTTAGGGAGCACTCACACAGCTAAAATGCATAATAAATGATGAGTCTGATGATGACCTTCACCAGTTATATGAAATATGTATGAGCAATATTTCCATGTCTGTCCTGTGAGCTTGTGAAGGACGATTTTGCACTTCTTTCATTTTTAAGACAGCATCAATTTGTGGAAACAGAGTGATGGGAAATCACCATCTCCATAATTATCACGTTTCCTGCTCACTGCTGCTGTCCCTGTAATGACATAATCAGTCACTGAGTTCTGATGCTGCCCAGCTAATTTTTGACTTTGGCAGTATCTGTTACCTTAATTGTCATGGTAACAGATGGTTTTGACTTCTTATTAACCTATTTTAACATTACATGACTAGGAAGGGCCATGAAAGAAATAGTAACAAAAGTGTTTCAATAATCTCCTCATGCCTGGAGACAAAACCCTAGGAATAACACTTCCTTTTCAAAAGACAGAATAAAAAGAAATATATTAGGCTTACTCAAAAAAATATGTTAAAAGAAAATAAGATGTGGAATTACAGAATTTTCTGCATCTTTCTCAGATATATAGTTAATGTTTTTTATAAATTAGGGTCTATGAGTCAAAACTGAAAAGAATTTTTTAACAGAGATTTCATTATCAGCATTTAGTCTGAAAGGCACAAACTATTACTCGATCAAACAAATTATCCATAATAACAATCACATTGTGCAAAGGTCTACATTATTTGTGCAAATGTAATGAGTTTTTTTGCTGATTAAGAAATCTAGATTATGTGCAACTGAAAGCATGTAGTTAACAACAAAATCAGAAGATTTTGTTCTTCTTTTTTATTCTATAGTGCTAAATAACTGGAATCTTTGATGTATTTGGTAACATACTATCAGATTCACTTTTAAAAGCTTTATCTCAGATCTACCTTAAAAAGTACCCTTTTTTACTGTAGCATTTAGCATTTTGTCAGCCAGTATAACAAAGACCTTAGAAAAGCAGTACACACATATGGCATCGTATGCACAGAGCATCAGTGCTCTTCAGATACTACATTCTCCTGGGAATTTTCAATGTCTTTTGATTCAATTCAGATAGATTAAAATTTTATTTATTTTCTTAGCAACTTTGGAATGTAGCCCTTTTAATCTTGTTTTCCTTAATATCAAGGCTTTTTTTTTTTTTTTTTTCACAAAGAACACCCCTTACTGATGCAAAATATCTTGATAGCATATTGAAACCAGAAAGCAGTACGGTTTTGGGGTTTTTTTTACTACCAAAGATTCTGTAACTGATTGATAAATAGTGATTATTCAGTGGAAAAGTTAATCTTTTCATGAAAACACCATCCAAAATATCCCTTGCAAATCAATTTATCTAGCTGCAGGTTTGAGCCCCAGCAGAGCTTGCTGTAGTGGTTTGAGGTGCCATCACCTATTTTATATTATATATATTCCTACTCACACCTGGGATGGGAGAATGTAAAAGGGGACCAGCCCCCACGGGCACAGCTCACAGTCTGAGAAAGAATCTGAGCCTCACCTTCAGAAACTAGCGCACTGTGAATCGCAAGGTCTGGAAATAGTTTCTTTTGTCAACTGTGCTTTAGGGGCAGTCATGCCTGGTGAGGAGGTGGGAGAGACAGCTGGCAACGGCAATGCCTTCAGCTGAGGCAGTGAGAATTTTTGGGAGAGCCTTGGTACGAACCTTGACCTGGGGGGGCTGGCGGCAGCTTCATTGCTTTGTAGGAGGTAATGCAGCTCTCAGCTTAAATGCCTGACTCCTTGAAAGAGGACGTAAACGCTGCTATGAGGTGAAGAGAGACAAGAGAAGCAGTGAATGCCATGAAACAAGACAAAAAAATAAGTTGCATTCTTTCTGCAGGGTAGGGTGCGAGGATATGGGTGCTGAATGGAAACACAGATACACTGCATCGCAATTTTATCGACGGTAAATGATGTTAACTTAGCTCGTTCATTTGCTTTGGAAGAACTAGTTTTCTAGGAGAAAATAAATGTGGAGGGCCTAAGGAATGTGGCATGTGGCATGATATCACCCGGGGAAGCCACCGGAGATGGGGCATTCGGGCCATGGATGGAGAGTGAAGGAAGCAAGACGGTAAATTACAGAAAGCTCACCCACAGGAAGAGGGGCAGCTGCTGAAGGGCTGGCCTGGGAAGGCATTTTACCTGGCAAACTCAGTAACGCCAGTGCCGCGGGAAGAATTCACCCACGGCAGGGCACGGGCAGAGGGGTCCCGGCAGGGCGGGGCAGCAGCGTCCCGCCCGCACGGAGCCAACATGGCCGGAGCGCCGCCCCGGGGCGGCGGAGCTCCGCGCGGGAGGCGGCGCGGCCCGGCGGGGGCAGAGCCACCTCCGCCCGCCCCTCGCCGGCCCTCGGCCCCGCCCGCCGCTGCCCCGCGGCTCCGCCGGCTCCGAGCGGCCACAGCAGCGGCAGCGGGTGAGTGCCGGCGGGCGGGAGCGGGTCGGGGACAGCCGTCTGTCCGTCCCTCCGTCCGACCGTCCGTCCCTCCGTCTGACCGTCCGTCTCTCCGTCCGACCGTCCGTCCCTCCCTCCCTCCGCGCCGGGGCAGGGGCGCTGCCCGGGCAGCGGGTGCGGCTGCCGCTCGCCCGGGCGAGGCCGCTTCCCCGTGCTCCCTGCGCAGGCGGCGGCGGGAGCCGCATCCCGCCGGGATGTGGGGAGGGAGCCGCGCTCTGCCTCCCAGCGCCGTCGGGCGCCGGGGCCATCAGTGCCTGCAAGGGGACAGGTCGGCGCCGTGGGTGACGGATGCGTCTGTGCGTGTGTGTGCTCGCAGCGTTCGGCGCGCTTCTGCCAAATAAGGAGAAATTTAATTTCCATACCACATACTGCCTTGCAGCAGTGTATTGGCGTCAGGAGTACCGGAGTCTAATAGCTGGCGTGCACTTTTGATAGTCGATGTGTTGAGCATCTACAGTACAAAGCAAATATTTAAGTTTTGAAATACCGAGTATCCCTACTCCTTGCTCAGTCAGCCACGCTTCTATGGTCTCAAAAGTCTTGCCTAATTATGTAGAATTTAACTTTTTTTATTCTAAATAATGCTGTTTATATTGATGATGTGCATGTATGAAAATAATTATAAATCAACATGAATTTAAAGACCTGCAGGTAAAAAAAAAAAAAAAAAAGGAGCATTTAAAGTGAGAAGAGCGTCTTTAAAAGAAGATAATTATGCCGTTGTGATGACCAACATCAAAACTGGCAGTCTGGCAAATAAAAGGAGAGTAAGCTTTCTAAGAGATGGGTCATATTTTCCTTGCTGACTTGATCTGTTTAGTGCAGAGTCCAACAAAATCCGGAAGTTTGTGGAGTTGCAGCTGTTCAGCCTTGCTGCCCTGCCCTTTGCAGCGGTGGTCCCATGGCAGCACGTCCAGTGTCGGTGTCACCTGTCGGTCTGCAGCTGATACCCGCTGCAGTGCTGCTGTTACCATGCACTAGGGATGAACTTGTGGTTCGCCTGGGGCTTTGCCCAGAAACCATGCTGATAATTAAGCTTGCTCAGTTTTGCATGTTAAAAGGAATTTTTTTTTTTTTTGCATGTTAATTTTGGATCTAAAAATCAGGCTCTGCTGCAAAGGTTTTTTTGCCTCTTGTGTAAATCATAAGGGGTCAGGAAGTGGAACTACGTTACCCTTACCTATTTTAACTCAAAAAAAAAAAAGGAGAGGAAGCTTTTCTCTTAGGAAGAGTTTGTGACACATTCAAATGTCTATTTTTTAACTCCACTTTCATACTAGTGCAGAAGTCCCAGTTTCGTAAAATACTCACTGAGCCCTTTTTAGCTAGTGCTCAGCTCCAGAAGCTCTCAGTGGCTTTTGTTCCAGGCTGCATTGTTGGCCCTCATGGAAGCTGCATTTGATGCTTTGCTTTGTCTGTGATGCCCAGTTTCTTGTGCTTACCTCAGTGCCAGTTTTTGCTTAAGGACTTCAGCATCTAAATGTTTCATTGTGTTGGTGCTATCTTGCACAGGATAGGCCATAAAACACTGTTCAGGTGTCTGCAGTTGTCAAACTTGGCCACTTTGCAGCCAGGTAGTGTTGTGTGTGACTGTAGTGCTGTCGAATGCTGTGCCACATATGGCTAAACTGTTGCAAGGCATTGGTACACGTTGGTGCAAATTGCTGCATTTTACGGCAAAGAGGTGCCCCAGAGAGGTTTGGCAGTGTAGTAGATTCTCAGGATCATTTTGAATGGCAAAAATGTTGACTGCCTTCGGTCACTTGCATAGTTTGGATCAGTTCTGCTTTCAGTAGCAGGTATGCAGGAGTTGCTGTCCTTTCAGACACTATGTGTGTCTGTAACCAGCAATACGTGTCAGCAGTATCTTCCCAGCATATGTAGAAAGCTGTGGTGTGGTTTAAGAAACCAAACCTACCACGTATCCCAGGAAGAAATTTAAAGGCAGATGTTCCATTTTAATTGAGGCCATAGATGGAAAGCTGCAAAGCCCCTGAAGACCTGTAATGTTAGTGAGTTGCTCTGATTCTGTGGCAGCTTAAACTCATTCCTTAAAACAACCAACTCTCCTCTTCCTTTACCTTTCCACATCTGTCATATTTTGAGATTGGCTCCTTATATTTATGTATAGAATGTAACAAGATTGTAACTTCTGTTCTCTTCCCTTCAAATGCAGAGGTGCAGAGGCTCTTTGTTCAAGACTAAAATCCTAGATTATCCTGTAGACGTGCATCTCCAGGCTACTGGGACTTATGAAGTGCTGTGACATTCCTAAAGAACTGAGAACGTGCCAGAACAGTGCAAAGGATTTACAGGATTCCTAATAACTTTCTAATTTTTTTTTCCTTTTAGATCACAATGAATGTGGAACATGAAATTAGCCTCTTAGTTGAGGAGATTCGGCGGCTGGGAGCCAAAAGTAAGTATTGTAGTATCTCTCTATGGATGTGGTCACATTATAGATGCGTGTATGTACATTCATGCCACCATGCATGCATGTCATACAGATGTAGTCATGTTACATCAAACTAAGTACTTGGCAAATTCAAATAAGCAGGTAACCTGAAAACCTGCATATGAACTTCATTTTGGACTGTAAGGTACTGCCTGTGTTCCATCCTTTAAAGTAGTTCTGTTATAAATTTAAGCATTTAAGCCTCTGCAGCAGAGAGGATATAGGCCTGAAATTCTGCTCCCTGAATCCTGAATCAGCCACAAGAGTTACCTTTTCTTTAAGCTTTCAATACTTGCTACAGTCACCACAGAAGAAAGTTGCACCTTCTCCTTCCACCTCCTTGCTTGGTAACGTCTTTACTTCAGAATTCATGCATTTCAATTCTGTTCATGATCTTATTATTTTAAAAAATGTGGTCCACATGCCTAAAACTAATCTAGGAGTTATAGATGTAGTTCCAACTTGCTTAAATTTGCTTAGAAGGTACTATTTTATCTTAAGATTGTTTTTCATTGCTAAAACTCCTATTTCTTTACAAATATTTATGCAGTTTGTGGATGTGCTACCTGCTCCTATATGTCAGTTCTGGTGCCATTTGTTCAGTTCCACTTGTTTTTCAAAACCTGAATGCATATGTACATCTTGCATTTTGTATGACTGTATCTGCCTTTTAGGAATAACATGCCTTTAACATATCTTTTTAAATTTTTGCTTTGTGTGAAAATTCACATTGCAGCCTTTTCAATGTGACCTGTAAAGATTAATGAGTGAAAAAAATATTTTAATGTATGGTTTAGATTTAGGTTGGAGGAGCAGGGTGTTGGACTTAATCCTTGTAGGTCTCCCTCAATTTGAGATATTCTAGGATTTTAATTATTTAAAACTAATTTCCTCCAAACACTGTGAAGAGGTTCAATAGCCTGTGCTTGTCATAGGTTTCAGGTCATCAATAAAAGTAAACTGAGCAGATATATGGTCCATGATACAAGTCTCTGGAAGGAAAGGCAAAGTTAGATTAGGCAGCAGTTCTGCCTACTGTTTATCATCAGCATTCATAATATGATCCCAAATAAACTGGGAAACACACTGGAGCTTGCTTTCAATGTTCTCTGTGTCACCTTATCTTCCCAGTAATCTCCTAACTTGAAAGAAATCTATATTATGTCTTTTATTTAGATGCTGATGGACAAGTGAGCGTGAAATTTGGTGTGCTGTTTGCTGATGAAAAGTGTGCCAACCTCTTCGAAGCCCTGGTGGGCACACTTAAGGCGGCCAAACGACGGAAGATTGTCACTTACCAAGGAGAGCTGCTTTTACAGGGCGTTCATGACAACGTGGATATCATGCTGCTGCAAGACTGAGGCAGTGCTTCAGCTATGTGTTCATGGAATTGCTTGAAACAGTTTGATCAATCAAACAATTGTTTGATTTGCCACATACTCTTAATAAGGCTGATCATTCCAAGGCATTTTGATGTATTTTCTATATCTTTATAGCCAAAAGAAAACTGTCCTTTTTTGGAAAACCTTTCCTTTTATAAGTCTTCCTAAAATAGTACTGTATGTGAGTAATGTAAAAGATGCCAGATCTTTTTCTCTCTTTTTTTTGTCCTTTTTTTTTTTTTTTTAAATCTCAGGTAATTCTCTCAAATAATCTGGTTGTTATTTTCAACATGTGAAGAAGAAGACTGGTAATTTAATGTTTACAAATGAAAATGTGCCATGAAAGTATAAAATAAAAGCACATGCTTAAATTTGTGTTATTCTTGCTGCTTTGGTTTCTCTTTTTATTTGCAATCTGAAATGAAAGCAAACTGAATTACTGCAAGGAGCATATTTAGGCAACTGTTCAGAAAGCACAACAGTGAGATAGAAATAATTTTGCAGCGCGATTCAGTAGAAGAATTACTGGCCTTTGGATTGACCAGATTGTGCAGAAAAAGCCATGAATGTTAAATGTACCTCATTCATCTGTAGCAGTCATGAGCTTTCGTTTTCTTGTCCTCTAGACTTGTGAAGGAAGTGGGTGAAGGCTCCCTGAATGCTTTCATGCAGTGTTAACTGGAACTTAGTACAGCAGCTTCAGGCTGTGATTCTTTTCCTCATACAAGTCCTACTTTCTCTAAATCTCTCCAGGCAGAAGGTGGCAGAGGAGGGGAAGAAAAAAAGCCCTTTTGATTGTTTTCTAGCTTACTGCCAATTCTTTTTATCAGGTAGAAGTGTACCCTCCAGCAGGGAGCAAGTGTTGCTGCATGAGGAAAGCAGCCGTGGGTAAGCAAGCTACTTACTGCTTTGTGCTTACGCTCCACAGCTGCAGTTCTTAAAGTTGCAGGATAGGTGAATTTCCCTTAGCAGCCTTTTACAAGTGCAAA